TTAATTACACTGAGACAACAGAGTTTGCAGCAGAATGTTTAATAATAGTGGGGTGCTGAGTGAGGAGATGGCAGGAGACCTTCAAATCCATCTCCCTGAGGAAATCTGGCTGGAGTTCTAAGAGGATCATGGAGTGGGAGGGCCTGGAAAATTGAGGTCATTGATTGGTTGGGGCAAGATGGATGAACTCATCAGGATTTGGAAACTGCATTCTTTGCTGAGTCAGTTCCTTGTGGGATCCTTCAAACTAGCTGGTGTCAGTGGGGTCTTTCAGATCAGCTGGCATCAGTGAGGTCCTTCAGATCAGCTGAGCCAGTAGTTTCATCAATAGGCAGGACCTGAATAAATACCTCCAAGGGAAAACAACATTTCATAACATTCAAGTTGTTATCTATGGAACAGTTAAGGGGAACCATAGGATCTATGGGATTCTAGGACAATAGGCACCAAACAACTATGAGGAAGCAAGTCAGAGAGCAAGTTGACCTCATGATTAATGCTAAACATGCTGCAAGCTTGGTTTATTTATCTCCCTCTCTCTTCTTCCTTGATTAATTTTATAAAGTTTATAGGGATGGTTTCACAATATCTCATTGGGATTTTAATCTGTGTTTTCCTGACTACTAACAGTGTTGAACACTGTTTCTTATTTATTGGCCATTTGATTTTCTTCTTTTGTTAAGTGGTAGTTTGAATCTTTGCTCATTTTTCTATTGAGTTGTGTCTTTCTTCTGTTGATTGTCTGTTGATTTTCTGTTATTTGTGTATTCTGGATACAAGTCCTTTGTCAGTTATATATTTTGCAAATGTCTCACCATTCTGTGGCTTGTCTTTATACTTTCCTTACTGGTATCTTTCAATGGACAAAATTCTTGGTTTTAATGCAATTAAAGTTATTAGGGTTTTTAATGTCAAATGACTTCCCTATAATAAGGAGAGAGCCATAAAGATAAAGAGCTATTTTGCCAAAGACTAGATGAATCACATTTCTAGCCAGTTACAGGATAATAGAGCACACATGCTATTGATGTGTTTTTTAATCAAACAGGGAATAACACAACTTTCTGATGACGAGTCCTTATCAGAACTCATTACACAGATGCACAGGGCTCAGTTACAAGGACCAAGACCTGGAAATAACCTACCCATGAGGCTAATACTCTATTTCATTTGCTAATTATTTCAAACCTACTATTGGTTTCTCAATTAGATTTTAAAATCCAGTCCAGCAAATGGAATCTGTTATCCTTGGACATAATATATAATGTGTGAACTTGCAGGCAGAGTATAGTACAGAGAAAATGAATGCTGTAATACATAGGAAGCTATAGATGTGTAGGAGAGGAAAAATATCTTATTCTCTACCCATCCTAGGTTCATGGCTGTGGGCCTTATACCAAAAGAGATTAACAAGAGAAAAGCATACAAGTTTATTTCATTTAAGTTTTATGTGATATGGGAGCCTTAATAAGGAAATGACAAAGTAACAGCTGAACTCGTGCATTTTTACACAAGGTTTGATGAAGATGTAAATAGTCGTGGATAAATATGATTAGAGGACAAAAGGGTATGATCTAATGGTAATAAACCAGGAGAAACTCAGCAAGATCTGTTCATTCAGATTCTTTTCTGAGTCCCTATATCTTCAGAGACAAGAATATTCCTTTCCTCTGGGTATAAGGAGCTGTGATAGTTAGTTTTAGGTATCAACTTGACTGTGTTAAGGGATACCCAGATAGTTGGTAACACATTATTTCCGTGTAGGTCTATGAAGGTGTTTCCACAAGAGATTAGCATCTGAGTCAATAGATCAAGTAAAGATCTGCCCCCACCAATGTGAGTGGGCCTCAGCTGAGCTGTTGAGATCCCAGATAGAACAAAAAGGCAGAGGAAGGTATAAACTTTCTCTCTCTTCTGTAGCTGGAACATTCATCTTCTTCTGTCCTCAGTCATCAGAAATTCAGGTTCTCAGGTGTGTGGACTCTGGGATTTACTCCAGCAGGCCCTCAGTTTCTCAAGTCTTCAGTCTTGGGCTGAGAATTACACTGTTGGACCTCCTGGTTCTCAGGTCCTTGGATTTAGACTGAATGACACCACCAGTCTCCCTGTTTCTCCAGCTTGCCGACAGCATATTGTGAGGCTTTACGACTTCCATAATTATGTGAACCAGTTCTCAGAATAAATCTCCTTCTTATCTGTCTAGCTCTCTCTTTCTCTATATATACTGTTTATTGATTTGTTTCTCTGGAGAACCCTGCCTAATCCAGGAAAGTGCCTCTAAAATGAGGGTTTTATGGCCTGTTTTAGGGTAGAAGGGAAAGAGAAATGTGAAAGTGATCTTCTTGCTTCTGCTCTTTTCTCAAATGACAAGATGACACGTTTTGGAGTAGTGTATCTTGGACCCCATCAGATGATTTACTATCACTGGGGTGGAAAGCTTTGAGAAGGAGCAGGAACACTGGAGCTAATAATTAAGTGGTTTTGTTAAACTATGGAACTTCGAGCTTTATACTGAAATGATGGTCTATTGAAGTGCTTTAAGCAGGGGACTAACACAGTTTTGTAAGTAGGGTCACTGGCAACCGTGTGGAGAAAGGGTTGAGATAAAGGGAGTAAGACTGAAGGTTCAAAGCCAGTGGCCATTAAATGGAGAAGTCCCGTAATATTTAAACAATAAATGCAAAAAAATTAGTGATTATTCAGGGGTGAGGGAGGTGGAAAAAGAAAAACATATCCTAAAGTCCTAAAAAGTTAAACCAGCAAGACATTTTATTTACATATTGGGTTCTGACATCCCAAGGTTTTGAGAAACACAGTGTCACTCTCTTAGGCGAACACTAGAATAATAAGAGCTCTGATAACTAATTTGACAGAAGAAAACTGTTTATTTTTGTTTAATCCAGTAGTTCAAAATTTTATTTTATCAATTAACTTTTATTTTTGCATAATATATATTAATATCCTGCCAGAGACTAGATGAATATTTCTAGCCAGCTACAGAAAAATAGAGCACACATGATATTGACATGTTTTTTAATCAAACAGAGAATAACACAAGTTTCTGATGATGAGCCCTTATCAGAACTTATTACACAGATGCACAGGGCTCAGTTACAAGGACCAAGCCCTGGAAATAAGCCTACCCATGAGGCTAATACTCATATTTTATTTCCTAATTATTTCAAACCTACTATTGGTTTCTCAATTAGATTTTAAAATCCAGTCCGGCAAATGGAATCCATTATCCTTGGACATAATATCTAATGTGTGAACTAGGTATCATTTGTAGTTCTAGGAAGGCAGTTGGGAAATATTGGTTTAGGATGGCTTCCAGGGAACTTTGGCTTATTTAAATGAGTAAAGAAAGGGTGGTTTCACTGAGTTAGCAAATGCATTAGTAAGGTATCTGCAGAATAAGACAATAGGTTTAGTTTGCATGTTTTGAAATCCATGAGGCTATCTCTAACAAGCAATTGAATAGATAGGCCTAGAGCTCAAGTGTGAGAGCTGGGGTGGAGGAAGAGATTTGGAAATCACTGGTTAAATTCAAAGAAGTTGATTATATTTTTAAGAAAAGTATTTATAAGTAGAAGGAGACAAAGACCTAAGAATGGTGTTAACAGCACCATTTACTGAATTCTTTTCCTATTGATTTATCTGTTACGGATGTTATATTTCACATATGTAGGTCTGGTACTGAGCCATCCATTTTGTTCCATTACTCTATTTGTTTATTTATCTGCCAATATTATGCTACATTAGTAGTAATTAGCTTTATAGTAAATTGGATTCTGATAAGGCAAATTCATTCACACTGTTCTTCAATCTTTCCTTGGCTATTATGAGCCCTTTGACCTTTCAAATATACTTTAGGATAAGCTTATCAAGTGCTAGAAAATACCACTATTAGTATTTTTATTGAAATTACACTAAAGTGATTAGTTCAGGAAAAACTGTTATTGTTATTATAGTGAATCTACTAGTCCGTGAACAATGGTACCTATATTTCACTATGTATTTATGTCTTCTATATTATATATTTCAATGTATGTTTCTATATTATATTTTAATATACTTTTCACTTCAATATTCTTTTATGTATTTTGAAGGGATTAATGCTAGGTACCTTGTGGTCTGATTGCTGTTTGTCAGATTCGTTTTGTCCATCTTCTTCCATTTCCTGATTGGCTATTATTGTTGTGTAAGAATGATATTAATTTTCATATATTGATTTTGTATTTAACAGCCTTGCTAAACATTTTTACTTATTTCAGGAGTTTGCTGCTTCTCTTTAACTGCAGACAACCTGTCAGGTACAGATAAGGAAAGTTTGATGCTTCCCCTCCAGTCTTTTCACTACTTTTATTTTTCATATCTTCTTATACTGCCAAGGACCTCCAGTGCAATTTTAAATTAAAAAAAATGATGTTCAGATATGGCAGAGAAATTGAAATTATCAGACCAGAAATTGGAAACAACTATGATTAATACAGTAAGGGTACTAATGAATAAAGTAGACAGCATGCAAGGATAGATGGACAACATAAACAAAGATGTGAACATTCTAAGGAAGAGACAAAAATAAATGCTATATAAATAAAAAACACTATAGCAAAAATGAAGAAAAAATGTCTTTGATGGGCCTATTAATAGACTGGATATGGCTGAGGAAAGAATCTCTGAACTTGAGGATATCTCAATAGAGGCCTCCCGAACTGAAAAGCAAGGAGAATAAAGACTGAAAAAAGCAGAACAGAATATCCAAAAACTGTGGGACAACCACAGGAGGTGTAACATGGGCATAATAGGACTATCAGAAGAAAAAGAAAGAGAGAAAGAAGCAGAAGAAATTTTTGAAATAATAATGAAATTTCTCCAACTTAATGTCACACCAAACCACAGACCCAGGCAGATCAGAGAATACGAAATGGGATAAGTGCCCCCTGAAAGCTACACATGGGCATATCATAGTCAAACTACAGAAAATAAAAGATAAAGAAGCTCTCCTCCTACCACCCAAGATGCGGAAAGGAAAGAGGTCCAAGGGGAAGAAGGTGGCTCTGGCCCCTGTGGTCACGAAGAAGCAGGAGGCCAAGAAAGTGGTGAGTCTCCTGTTTGAGAAAAGGCCTAAGAATTTTGGCATTAGACAGGACATCCAGCCCAAAAGAGACTTCACCTGCTTTGTGAAATGGCCCCGCTATATCAGGTTGCAGCAGCAGAGAGCCATCCTCTATAAGCGGCTGAAAGTGCCTCTTGCAATTAACCAGTTCACCCAGGCCCTGGACCGCCAAACAGCTACTCAGCTGCTTAAGCTGGCCCACAGGTACAGACCAGAGACAAAGCAAGAGAAGAAGCAGAGGCTGCTGGCCTGGGCAGAAAAGAAAGCTGCTGGCAAAGGGGATGTCCCCACTAAGAGACCACCTGTCTTCGTGGAGAACAAGAAAGCTCAGCTGGTGGTGATTGCATATGAAGTGGATCCCACTGAGCTAGTTGTCTTTTTGCTTGCCCTGTGTCATAAAATTCGAGTCCCTTACTGCATTATCAAGGGGAAGGCAAGACTGGGCCGCCTAGCCCACAGGAAGACCTGCACCACTCTTGCCTTCACACAGGTTAGCTCAGAAGACAAAGGTGCTTTGGCTAAGCTGGGGGAAGCTATCAGGACCAATTACAATGACAGATATGATGAGATCGGCTGTCACTGGGGAGGCAAGGTCCTGGGTTCGAAGTCTGTGGCTCACATCGCTGAGCTTGAAAAGGCAAAGGCTAAAGAATTTGCCACTAAACTGTGTTAAATGTATACTGTTGAGTTTTCTGTACATAAAAACAATTAAAACAATACAAATTTTCCTTCAGCCAAAAAAAAAAAAAAAAAAGATAAAAAATTCTAAAAGCACCTAGAGGGAAAAAAATTCTAACCTATAGAAGAGGAAAAATTATAATTGCATCTGATTTCTCCTCAGAAAACATGCAAGTAAGACAAGAGTGGAGTGAAACATTTACATTATTGAGATGAAAAAACTCTGCCAACCTAGAATTCTATACCCTGAGAAATTATCCTTCAAAAGTGAAGGATAAATAATGACTTTCTTAGACAAACAAATATTGAGGGAAATGTCACCAGTAGACATTCCTTGAAAGAAATATTAAAAGAAGTTAGAAGGAAAATGATATAGGTCAGAAACTCAGATCTATATTAAAAAGGAAGAATATCAGAGAAGTAAGTTGAGGTAAAATAAAACCTTTTATTTGTCTTAATCTTATCTTGATTAATCTAATCATAACTTAATGGATAGTTTGAAATAATAACAGCAACAGTGTATTATATATATATGCTTATGTATAAGTGAAGTAAATGACAGCAATGATACAAGGGATGGGAAGGAGGAATTAGGATTATTTTGTTATAAAATACTTGCATAACCATGAAGCAATATGGTGTTATTTGAAACTGGATTAGTTGCAAATGAATGCTGTAAAATCTAAGGCAATCACTAAAAAAAGTAAACAAGGAAGTACAACTTATATACTTTAAAAGGAGAGAAAATGGAATCATGTAAAATGATCAAAACCTAAAAAGGCTAAAAAATAATGGAAGTCAAAAATAGAAAGAGCAAGGGCAGCAAATAGAATCAGTAGCAAATATGAGAGATATTAATCTAACTATATCAGCAAACACTTTGAACATCAACTACTTAAGTGCATTAATTAAAAGCCAGATTGTCAGAGAATATTAAAAAATCCCGAATTAACAATATATTGTCTATAAGAAACCCACTTTAAATCTAAAGACACATATAGGTTAAAAGTAAACAAATGGAGAAAGATATACCATGCTAACACTAATAAAAGGAAAGTAAAATTAGCTACATTAATTTCAGACACAGAATATTTCACAGTGAGGAAAGTTATCAGGGATAAAGAGAGGTATTACATAATGATAAAGGGATCAGTTCTGTGAAACTAATAACAATCTGTAATGTGTATGCACCTGATGACAGAGTACCAAAATTCATAAGAAAAAATTAATAGAACTACAAGGAGAAATACAGGAATCTACTATTATATTTAGAGATATCAATATACTCCTATCAGAAATGGGCAGATTCAGCAGACAGGAAATCAGTAAGGTCAAAATTGAACTTAACAACAACATCAACCTACTGAATCTAATTGATACTTATAGAATACTTCATCCAACAAGAGCAGAATATACATTATTTTCAAATTCACATAGAGCATTCACCAAAATGGACCACATTCTAAGTCGTAAAACACAGATTTTAAAAATACACATCATATAATGTCTGCTCTCAGACCACAACAGAATTAAACCAGAAATTAATAACAGAAAGATAGCTAGAATATCCCAAAATACTTAGAGATTAAACGACACACTTCTAAATAACACATGGATCAAAGAAGAATTCTCAAGAGAAATTTAAAAAAAATTTGAAATAAATAAAAATGAAAACACACCTTATCCAAAAGTTGTGGAATATAGAGAAAGCAGTGCACGGAGAGAAATTTATAGCATTGAATGCATATAGAAGAAAAGAATAAAAATTTAAAATCAATAATGGAAAATCAATAATCTTTGCCTTAGGAAACTAAAGACAAGAAGAGCAAATTAACTTCAAAGTAAGTAGAAGAAAAGAAATAATAAAAATTCGAGAATACATCAATAAAACTGAAAATAGAAAACCAATTTTAAAAATCAATGAAACTAAAAGTGTTTTCTTTAAAAATGTCAGTAAAATTGATAAGTCTCTAGCGAGGTTAACTAGGAAAAAAAGAGAAGATACAAATTTCTAATATTAGAAATGAAAGAAAGGATATCACTATAGCTGCAATGCACATCAAAAGGATAATAAAGGAATAATTTGAACAATTCTATGGCCACAAATTTGATAACTGAGATGAAATAGAGCAATTCTTTGAAAGAAACAATCTGCCAAAACTTACACAAGAAGAAATATGCGGCCGGGCGCGGTGGCTCAAGCCTGTAATCCCAGCACTTTGGGAGGCCGAGGCGGGTGGATCACAAGGTCGAGAGATCGAGACCATCCTGGTCAACATGGTGAAACCCTGTCTCTACTAAAAATACAAAAATTAGCTGGGCATGGTGGTGCGTGCCTGTAATCCCAGCTACTCAGGAGGCTGAGGCAGGAGAATTGCCTGAGCCCAGGAGGCGGAGGTTGCGGTGAGCCGAGATCGCGCCATTGCACTCCAGCCTGGGTAACAAGAGCGAAACTCCATCTCAAAAAAAAAAAAAAAGAAGAAATATGCAATATTGAATGTGTCTATTGTCTATCAAATAAATTGAATAAATACTTAATTATCTTTCAAAATGGAAATCATTAGGCCCAGATGAGTTCGCAACTACATTTTACCAAACAATAAAAAAGAAAAATATCAATTCTATATAATCTCTTTCAGCAGACAGAAGTAAAAAGAATTATTCCTAATTCATTCTGTGAGGCTAGCATTACCTTAATACCAAAAGACAAAGACTTTACAAGAAAAGAAAACCACAGACCAACATATATCATGAACATAGCTGCAAAAGTCCTCAAGAAAATGTTAGTCTAACAATGTAAATCAAGTCTAACAATGTACAAAAAGAATTATACACCATGACTAAGTGAGATTTATTCCAGATATGAGAGTTTGGTTCAACATTGAAAAAGCAATTAATTTAATTTAATGCATTAAATTAACAAACTAAAGAAGGGAAAACACGTGATCACATAAATAGACGCAGAGAAGCATTTAACGAAGTCCAGCATCCATTCATGATTAGGCACTGTCAATAAACTAGGAATGGAGAGGATCTTCCTCAACTTGATAAAGAAAATCTACAAAAACTAACAGCTAATATAAGTAATGGACACAGGGAGGGGAACATCATTCACTGGGGTCTGTCAGGGGGTGGGAGGCAAGGGGAGGGAGAGCATTAGGACAAATACCTAATGCATGTGGGGCGTAAAACCTAGATGACGGGTTGATAGGTGCAGCAAACCACCACAGCACATGTATACCTATGTAACAAACCTGCGTGTTCTGCCATGTATCCCAGAGCTTAAAGTAAAATAAAAAAAAAAAAAAAGAAAAATTATAATAGTAAAAAAAAGCAGTGTACATTAAGAAACATTAGAAAATAGCATGACTTATGCAACTTAATAATTGATATATTCAACTCAATATTATGCAATTTAAAAAAGAAATGATTTCATCTGAATTTCTAAATGTATTACTTATATTCTATCTTTTAATTTTAGAAAACGCCTTATTTGCAACATTATATCTCATTGTTTACTTGTGTGCTTTCCATGTGATTTCCTTTCTTGTTCAGTATTACTAGAGATATGTTCAATTTATAGATTTTGTAACAGTTTGTATTTTTGTTGACCCTATGTAGTTTTCCACTTTATTTTACAGCTCTTGCCCCCTTTATCCCAACTTATTTACAATATTAGTTTTTTATTTTTCTTTAGTATTTGTCTTTATAAAGTTTGTGTGTGTGTGTATGTGTGCATGCATATATTTGGAAAAGTCACAGAGTTGTGCAAATAGATCGTTTCATAACAAATAACACTCTCCTGTCACACCGTCCCCATTCCTGCACCCCAGAACCAACCAGGTTCATTCTTTTAGCTATTTCTTATGATTCATGTGTCTTAAAAACATGGCTTATATTGCTACTTCTTGCTTGTGAAGTTTTAAACATTATCCATTGATTTCCCAATACAGATTATTGGTATCTGGGTTTAGTTATCTCTCACTATTACTCAATCCCCACTATATTCCCTTATGCCCTATATTCCTTGTGTCCTGTCCTTCCAGAACAGTTCTATGGTTTCTTTGGTTAAATCATAATCATTTAACCATAATTGAGTCATTATTGGGACTACATAAATGCTATTTCTTGGAATATTTTTTCCTGCATGATCTTTTGTTTTCTTTTAGTTTTATTTGCAAATGCTTCCCCCTAAAATTATGCTCCATTGTGTAAATAGCTTCATAATAGATTAATATAATATTGGAATCTATTTTTTTCCCCATCTTCTTGAAGAAATCTCTCTGGAAACTAATGATTGCTCTCTCCCTGATCTGCAGTTGTCCTTCTGAGATTTCACATCACCAGTAATGGTGGAATTTCCCCCCCTCTTTCTTATATCAGCCCCTATTACTTGATTCCCATGTTTTTCTCTTTCTTGGTTTACTCCCTCACTTTCTGGGAGGCAAAAATGGTTGAGATCTTGCACGTTAGAAAAAATTGTCTTTATGCTACTCTCACACTTCTTTGATAGTTTAGCTGGTTATTAAATCCTTGGTTGTAATTATTTTCTAAGAATGATGCTGCTCTGTTGGTTTTTGGCTTTCATTGTTGCTGGTTAGAACTCCAATGCTATTGTGACTCTTTTACGTTCCTGTTAAACCTTTTCCTTTTCTCCTCTTTGGAAGCTGCAGGATCTCCAGTGCTCTAAAATTTTATGAAGACATGCCTAGGTTTGAGCCCTTCAATTGGTTGATCCATTTAGTTGTGAAACAGGTCTTTCAGTTATGGGAAACATTCTTAAATCATTTCATCCATGACTTCTTTGCTCTTTTCTTCATTCTCTGTATCTCTTTGTCTTTCCTTATGAATTCCTACTATTTAGATGTGAGACCTCAACAAGTTGCTTATCTTTTATCTCCCATTTTCATAAATCTGTCGTTTTACTATTTTCTGGGAGATATTTTTCAAAATTACACTCCATTTTATTGAAAAATTTCCATGTTTTTATTTCTTTGCTCTTGTTATTTCCTGAATGTGATTTTTTTGTAGTTTCCTGTTCTTGTTTCAAGGAAG